GTGATTGACAATTAGGAGGGCCACTTATTTAGATGATCACCCTGAAATAAAATATTGTCCTCTATACATTTAAGGCACCTAGTTCAAACTCAACTCAGATTAAGCTCCCTCTTCACCGTCAGTCCTATACAGCGACCGCATCACTGGGTAATGACCGAAAGGACAAGATCGCGAATACAAGCGGCCGAAATGAGTTTCCTTCGCAGGGTGGCTGGGCACACTCTTAGAGATCAGGTGAGGAGCTCAGTTACCTGGGAGGAGCTTGGAGTAGAGTCATTGCTCCTCCACGTCGAAAGGAGCCAGCTGAGGTGGCTCGGGCATCTTTTTCGGATGCCTCCTGGTCGCCTCCCTCAGGAGGTGTTCCAGGCATGTCCCATTGGAAGGAGGCCTCGTGGAAGGCCCTAGACACACTGGTGGGACTATGTCTCTGAGCTGGCCGGGTGTCGCCTTGGGGGTAAGTCTGGGCATCTTTGCTTAGACTGCTGCCTCCGCGACCCGGCCCCGGATAAGAGCAAGAAAATGTCTGGATGGATGAAACAATTAGCTTATACTTGAGACCAGATCAGGACATACTATATATTTTTATCAGTCCTTTTATAAGGACAACTTTAGAGCAGGGGATTGTGGGAGGCCAGTGGGTCCCTGGCAGCTTATGACTGCTGATGTCAAAGACATGCTTTGACTCCCGCATCCAATAATGAGAACACAGTAGACACTTCTTAAGAGTAAATTTCAGAGAAAATCTTGCTCCAGTGGCTGAATTCATTTATATGATTACACAGCTAGTAGCTGATTTACTTATTTGCATCTTTTTTCAGCTTGTGCCAGCACATCTAATCTATAAACCATCAGGGCTCTCTTAGATCATTTTTTAATCTGCGCTTGAATGCCAAAATATAAACACTCTCATCCACTTGAATGTTCTCTCTACTCTAAGCTGAGCTGTCTCTGAGGTGTAGCACATACAGAGGAAATCAGTGTTTGTGCTTTACGTAAATCAACTGATATCCAACTTTTTCATAATGTTTAATACTCTGTTAATTCTAACTTAACCTTCTGTACTTTTAGAATTAAAATGTTGGCTGCTGTGCAGTACTTAAGCTGCTGCTCTGCTTTCTGCATTCTGATTTTTAAGTATTGGTGGTTTCAACTCAGTTTAAAGCATAACAATGTGGGGTCAAATGGACTCAAAAAGATGTAATGACAATGAGAAGTTGCAGCAATTCGAGTTGCACCCGTTTTTGTTGCCCTGAAGCTATAAAAGCTAATGTGAAGAGGAAATGGTTTAGATCTTGGTTCTGTTTATTGTTTTGGCATATTTAATTATACTAATGTGTATTTATTTATGAAAGGCTCATGTTTTCTAAATAATAAAATTGTTGGAAATTCTTGATTTTAGCTTCACTCGAGTCAGACTTTTAGATATTTTTATAAACACAGATTTCTCTTTAATAACTATGAATTATTATCTTATTTCATCCCATCTCTGTCTAGGGTCTTGTTTTATACTCAGGTTTAAGTAGCAGCACTTAAATATTTTTTTTTTACTCTTACAAACTTAGTCATCCAAAAGTAGAAAGTTGTCATCCAAGAAATTATTCAAAAAAAGTACTTGGAACAAAATTGCTTCTTAATTTAGTTGTTTTAGAACATTAGTGAAATACAAATATGTGATTTAACTGTTAGAATTATATAATTAGCTATATGCAAATGATGGTGTTTTAAAATATTTAATAAAATAAACAATCATAATTACAAATGAGCAAATTTGGACAGATGAAAAACACCAAAAAATTTACTAAAGAAAACAACTAGTTGTAGCCCTACTTTGAGGCTGCCAACATGTTCAATCCACTATGCTGGATGGGCTGTATCAATCAATCAATCAATCAATTACGTAGATTCCAACACAGTGTAGGAATTGCTGTTTTCTTGGTTTCCTCTTTTTTTACATTAACGTCTCATAGATTAGGAAATTAGATCACCAAGTGTTACTATAAGTGCAAATGTTCATTGCAATCACAGATCGGAGAAGCATTGGATTTTTGAGTTTGAGTATCTCATTCTATACAATAATGCCCTGTGCCTTATTGATTTTGACTTTCTGCGGTCTGATTTCTTTCTACAGTTTCTTCTTAGTTTTTTCTTGTTGATGAACAGAATTAGTTAACAGAACTCACAGTGAGATACAGGACGTGGAGAAAACCCTTCTCTGCACTGTTCTGCAAAACAGACAACATGAACTCAGCTTTGAAATGTATTATTTTACTGTCAAGCGACTGCAGAACCCTTTTCCTGCAAAAGATGTGTGCTCGGTTGAGCTTTATTTTCAGAGAGGGAGTGTGCCTTTTCTACAGTCAGAGGCATTCAAAGGGGTTAGATTTCTTAGTTTGAACTGTTTTCAATTACTGGTCAGACCTCGCACAGAGGAACGCGCTGCACTGTTGAAATCTATAGAGACAGCAGGTATAGGGAGAAGGAGGAGGATAGGAGAGATCGGCAGACAAAAGGGAAACGAAGAAGAAAGAGGGGACAGAGTCCAGGGAGAGTAGAGTCCCAGTGAAACAATTGGATTAGACGGAGAGAGAAAGAGAGCCAGGTAAAGAGCATTTCATAAACAGTCAGTTTAGCTTTGACTGTGAAAGAGGCAGGATGGGAGGACGAGTTGCTCCTCTCCTGCTCCACACCCCTCACCGTGTATGAGGTCAGACGGTTTGGGCCGAGCACATTCAGGAGTTGCAACTGCCTCTTCACTGCCAAAGGCTGAGACATCTCGCTGGGCTCTAATGGCTTCTGCACATGGGTCTCCCCCCGGCGTCTTCTGTCATCAGGTTTCACCCAACATCAAAAGGACACACCTTCCACTTGGCCACTCTCAGCTCCCACCCAAAGGAAATCAAGCCCTCGGTTTCTCATAAAGCTCCCTGGCTATCGCCTTTTTCCCCTCCCATCGATACTTGATTGTTTTTCCAGTGTGTTCCTCAACTTCTGCATGTGTAGGAGAGACTTCCCAGGAAACCTGAGAAGGTGTGTCTTTGAGGCATAACAGTTGTCAAAGCAGCAGCCAGAAAGGAAGAAATTAATGCCAACTAGGTTATAGTACACAGAATCACAACGATTTTTTTTTTTTTGACTCTCGCTATGCATGCGGTGCTATGCTAGCTTTAATAGACTCTTAAAAATGAGAGATTCTTCTCTACTTCCTGTATGAAGTTCAACCTGCCAGCTCCATACGCATTATTTGAAAGCAACAGATTCATATATGCAATATAGCACAAGCTGGTTGTTTCAGGTTATGGCTTTCTTCTTATAGGTAATACTCAGAATAATTGCTACTTCTAAATTCGCTAATTGGGTGAAGTAGCATTAAAATGGCACAGTATTTTTATTGGATCAAGCTGAAGCACCATGCTTTTGCTGTCTTATTCAGAGCTGTTAAAATTGGCCACAGATATGAAGATAAATACCTTAAGGTTGACACCCCGTCTCTGCGTCTGAGACTTTTGAAGTAAGACGGGAAACAGGTTTTTTTGAGTTGCTGGTTTGATGCGCCATGAAGTCTGCTTGCAAAGACGGCAGTCAGACAGACTAAAAACACTCAGTTGAAATAAGTGTTAAAGGAGTATCCTTTAAGTTTGCCATACCTCACAGAAAGAGAAAACAGGATGACAGAGAAGATCCAAACAATTTATAAACAACGGCAGCTAATTACGCCGAAATAAGGACCTGCTTCAGAGAAACACATTTTTTAAGGAATCTGGGCTGCAGCTGGACATCTTTAGTTTATGATGATGTAACGAACAGTGAAAATACTAAATAGGGATTATCTTTAATTTGTTGGTTAAAACACAACTACAAAACGTTTATTCTACTCAAAAAAAGGAGCTTTTCAAATCACAGAGGGGTGTATTTTCATCACATTACATTTAACAAGAGTAAGACACTGACTTTCTCTTTCCAAGATGACAGTAATCTGTTTGGAGAGAAGAGAAAGGTGCAGCTTGCATGCAGTTCCGCACATGCAAGTAGAAGTAAAATCTTTTCCACACTACAGTAACATTAAAGTCCTGCCACAAAGGGCTTTGGAAATGCAGGCTTTCAAGGTCATGAAAACAAGGAAACCCTGGAGTGAAGTATCTACAGAGGATATTAGTGCAAAGGAAAATCAAACTGGAACTGCAATTGCAATATTGATTTTTAGAACGATTTGCAGCTAAATCGTTCAGCCATGCTGTTACTTTAGATTTCGGCAAATGGTTTTAAATCTTGGAAATCTTTACTCTATTTGGGATAATTCAAAATAAACATAATTTCTCATCTTCTGTCATCAGATCTATTGCAACCATTTTAAAAATTATGGCTATATTCAGCTATATGCACTTGAATACACTTCGTATTAGACCAATTGTGCATTATTCTCTGAAGAACTATCATAATCTATTGCTGTCTGGCCTGGAAAACTATGACAACTATGAAAACTGTTGGAACTAAACCATAAGGAAAACTAGTAGAGGATACTTGTTAGAGTTATACAGCATTAGAAACATTCCTTTAAATTAGATGATAGGCATATTATAGAAGATTACTTTAAATCATGGGGTTATCAAACTGGGGCCAAAATGTCCCAGAGGGACTAAATTGATGCAGGATGGGATCAAAATGCCTTGTGGCAGAGGGTTTCCGTTTGTACAGAGAAAGCTGCATAGGAAGCAACAAAACCAGTAAAATATGAAATATTAGGGGGAAATGTGTTTGGTGGTCCTGGTTTACATACAAATCCCTTTTTAACACAAACAACCCAGTGATAGTCTCAGAAATATTTGATGTTTCTTTGCTTTTTTGCTCTTAAAGGTCAGTAGCCAGTTAAGTCTGATTTAACAGCCAGAAATAGACAGAATCTGTAAGTTTTTTACCTTGTCTAGCTTCAAAAAGAAAAGGTAACATTCCTAATAAAATGTCTTAAATGTTTTCTAACATCAACATCTTGTTTTCCGTCACAGGACCACTGGGTTTGGAGGATGAGAGACAACTCTGTGTTGCCGGGATTCCCCATGCTCATCAACGTGTTCTGGAAGGGGCTCCCGTCGAAGATAGACGCCGTCTATGAGAACAGCGAGGGCAAGTTTGTCTTCTTCAAAGGTAAGACATGGTTAAACAGCAGCACTCATCGCTGCCTTCATCATGTAGCTTTGCACAGTTCTTCTCCATCGGGAAGCGATCGTCAGAAAGCTTTTCATGTTAAACCTCAATGCAGATATTGTGTTTGTTGCCATGCTTTGTACAATCTCTCTTTTGTCTTGTTTAGCCTCAGCAAACTTTACCTCCAGATCTGTTTACGTGGGAGTGCTGTACTCTTTCACAAGCTTATACACCCATATTTCTTCTGATATCCTGCATCTTTGAGTGCTTATATTTACGAGAAGGGAATCATTTTACTTGCTCACTCAAAAGGCTCCTTTGATCATATCTGTTTAGGATTTTATTGTAATTCTGGGAAAGACTAAAATAATGTTTTACTCAGAATATCCCAGCCTATCCAGCTGATCTGATTTAAATAATCCATATATTTTGGTGTTGCTTGTGACAATATATACTGAGCGTAAATCATCTTCTGTAGCTAAATATTCCTCTTATGGACTGCTTTAGGAAATCACTGTTAATTCTGAGACGTTTTACTGCAAGCTATGTTTTAATGATGCATGAAATTAGCTTTTTTTTTTTTTTTTTTTTTTTTTTTTTTGGGGTTTTTTTTTTTTTTTTTTTTTTTTTTAGGGTTTTTTTTTTTTTTTTTTACATATTCAAATGTAGACCAAGCAGTAAAAAGCTTTGAAGCCAATTATATCAAGAGCCAAGAAGACACTTGAAAGAGACGTCAAACAAACTTGGAAGTCTATGTATTTGCTCACACTTCAGAGAAGAGAGGGGAACAGATACAGAGAAAGAGGGAGGAAAAAAAGAAGGCTGGTATGATGCAAGGAGAGGCAGGCAAGCCATGAAAGTGTGCTGGGATAAAAACTACAAATCCTCTCTCAAAGCCATTTCTATTTTCAACCCCAAACAATTCCTGGAAATGCAGACGGCAGCTCCTGTGTGCCACGAGCCCAGCAACTTGGATTTCACTGCCTTTCCCTTCACTCTGCCTACTACCCAGGCTGGGTGGATTTAGAAAATCCATATTAACAGAATATCGTTTCTCATTAAATCTCAAACAGCAGATTTGCCAGAAGGTCTTATTCTGTCTGTCCACATTTTGGAGAAGCCACCAAAGAAAAAATGAGTCAGGAAGGTTGGTCAGAGAGTAGAGTGCAGTACTGCACTGTCTGCCTCATACTAACCAGCTACTTCAAGTATCCTCTGACAACTCCTATTGAATACATATATCTCTTCAGATTCACACTTTAGAGTCCCTGGTAACAACCTAGCAACCGTGGCAAACCCTGCCCAGCAATCAGCATGCATTAAAAAAGGTTTCCTGCATAATTTTTATTTTTCATTTTATTATTATGAAAATACACTTTGGCCTCAATCGTGATCAATGATTTGATTAGTTTTTTTTGTCATAGCCGTATATAGGTCTACATTGTAAAACTTCTCGCGATCGACTGAAACTCCGCCCTCAATCGACCTGTAGACCGCGATGGACTGGTTGGCTACCCCTGACCTAGATCGTCACCAGAGAACATTCTCAATAGCAAGTGAAAGTGGCCCCAGACTCCCCCGCAGAGACTAGGACACACATAGTGGTAACCAGACCCCAAGATATCTAACAGAACCCATGACTACAGTGACCTATAAAGGATGTAACTCAAATAAAGTCAAGTCGATCCATCCATCCATTATCTGACACGCTTGTCCCAATTGGGGTAGCGAGGGGTGCTGGTGCCTATCTCTAGCTGTCAATGGGCGAGAGGCGGGGTACACCCTGGACAGGTCGCCAGTCCATCGCAGGGCAACACACAGAGACAAACAGGACAAACAACCATTCAGCACACACTCAGACCTAAGGAGAATCTAGAGAAGAAAATTAACCTAACAGTTTTTGGACTGCGGGAGGAAGCCGGAGTACCCAGAGAGAACCCACGCATGCTCAGGGAGAACATGCAAACTCCATGCAGAAAGACCCTGGGCCAGGAATTTAACCCGGAACCTTCTTGCTGCAGTGCTACCCACTGCGCCACTGAGCAGCCCCAAGTGATGCTGTAAATAAACTCAAGTGATGCTGTGGATAGACAAGAGCCTCTGCACATCTGCAAGGATACTGTAAGTGGGTGTCAACTGTGGAAGGTTGGATGTTTTATAATGTTGTCATTATAAAACAAGAAGTTTGTGGTTGAGATTTGACCAAAAATATAAAGTATTCAAAACTTTATAGGATAACTCAACTACATATCGCCCTCTCTATACAATGCTAAGTTCAAGCAGCGTGAATTAGTCACAGCACTTCAGCTTAGGTCTGAGCAAAACCAACATCAAAGCATCCCTCACAGCTCGAAGGATGAATCCAGACTTTAATGAGCAGGTTGATTCAGCTCTGCTTTCATTAAATAAGATATTCAAACTAAGGAGTGAAGCCATGTTTTACTTTAAATTGATTGAGAAGGAGAATCCAGCATGTTTAGAGTGAGTATTCGAATCAGCTTAAACTCACTGCTTTTTGGGGACTTGGAGACTGGATTAATCCAAGGTGTGGTGTATTAGTGTCAGAGGAAGTGTGACCCACAATAAGAGGAGTGTGAGAAAAACATAAAAGAAGAGGAATTTCCTTTCTAATTGGAGTCTATCCTTCCCTGTTAATATTCAACCAACACCCTGAACTACAGTTCCACCCTCTTTTCCATCTAAACTCTGTTAGTGCAGATGTAGATTTTTCAGGATTTATCTACATTTTTGTGGACTTTATAATGGCAAAGAGAAGCTAAGAACATGGCCAAGATTTTACCCGATTTTCTTTTTCACTCATTTCCTGTGTTTGTTAAAGAATGGTGTTCAGGGCCTCTTTCTGCTGAGCTTGCAAGAGTTTAGGATGGTCTCACAGACTTGCAGGTGTTTATTTAGAAACCAGGGAGGAATAAAGATGCAATAAACTCAGTTAGCACTCTCATATTTTACTTTGAGAATGCTAACTAAGCACTCTCAAAGTATGGTTTTTAGTTTTCATTGGCAAGGAAATGCTATGGCTTGAAATGTTAATCAAACTGTAAAATAACAAATGAAAATCCTCACTTAGATCTGTATGTAAACAACTGTTCAGCTGTCAAAAGCTTGCATTTCAACCTGATTACTCCTCAAAAAGCAGGGTAAAGTGAAACGTGAAAAAGAGACAAAAACATTCCTTTTGTATTATTTTGAACCAGAGATGAAACAAAACTATGCCGAAAAAGACATAAATATGTAAAAATCTAAGATAAGATCTTAGTTATGCTCCCAATTTGACAGGAAAGTGCTTTGCCTTCGTCATCCCACCTTTTGACTTTTTTTGTTTTGCTCTTGAAACGTCCACCTCCCCTCTAGCTTGTCTTCCTGGCCCTCCCTTCCACTCCTCCAGTGATACAGAAATGCATTTCCTGGGGTCACAGTGTGTCAAAAATGTGCTTTTTAACCCAATTACTGCACAGGAAGGAGACATTGAAAGCAGAGAACAGAAGCTACTCAAGCACAATTGTTGGGTTGTAAAAAGAACTGAGACATTCATTTGGGTCCAATGGCTGGAAACTACCTAAAAGATGTGTCTGGTTCATCATCAGCTTCTTCTCTAATGTGATTTTGTTGTTTCTTTTTAGTTCTGATGACTTGTGAATAGTTCAATTTGCAAGCATTAATCAGGTTATCTGTCAGAATTTTTTTTTTAATTAAGCTTTTTATATTTTCGCTTTGAAAAATAAGATGAATCACAGGTTGAACATTAAAGGAGAGCCAGTCAATTAAAGATCCACATCAACATTTAAAATATCACGTGACATTTTATTTACTTCTAATAGTTCTTTTATGGAAAGAACCTTAAAAAAAATATTTATGTGATTTTTTTTTTCTTTTTTAAACATGAAGTTTAATGGTTTTTATTATTTCTTATTTGATTGTAGAAGCTGAGAATTAATACAAACTCAGAGTAACATATGAAGAAATGCTTTGATAAAGAAATGGCCTACAATGGTGGACGGTGGAATTGACAGCTATCAGGCACTTATTGAAGGGATGCTATTCCACAAAATGTCATTGCTGGAAAAAAAGTGTTTGTTTACAGCTTTATCCTTGCATATTATTGACGAGTTGGGTGGAAGGACATCCTACAGGAATATAACCACAGCTTTGACAGGACTACGAACAAAGCTATTTTATTTAAGGTTCACATGCTCTCAGAATATCACACTGAACTTTGTCTAATGCAGAGAAGCTCTGAAGATGGCTAAGACAGTTTTTCCTAAAATTATTGTCCTGTTTCAAAATAGAGAAAAAACCCAGATCCAAAAGAGTTAAACAAAGCAGCAGGTTATTGCCTAATGTTTGTGAGGGAGCTTTCTTTGCTCTTGGCTAAAGTTCTGTTGCTGTATGGTGATCTTCTGCCTTTCTGCCTTGTTTTAATTATTCATTCGCTCTTTTTGTTCTTGTGATGCAGGAAAGCAGTACTGGGTATACAAGGACACAAAGTTGGAGCCTGACTACCCAAGGGACATCACCCATTTCAGCCACGGCATGCCGTCACAGAGCATCGAGACTGCAGTGTGGTGGGAGGACGTGGCCAAGACCTATTTCTTTAAAGGAGACAGGTAAGGACCATTGGAGGTGAAGATTTAAAATATTTAAAACTGGATTTAAAATGAACTCATATGGAATAAACCTTAAACTAACTTTTTTTTTTACATTATAACATCTATTGTCAATAGAAACTGCACATTTGGGGACTTCTGCTTTGTCGTCCAATGGCTCATCATTTGTTTTTGTTAAGGTACTGGCGCTACAATGAGGACAAGAGAACGATGGACCCTGGCTATCCAAAACCCATCTCAGTGTGGAAAGGGGTCCCTGCATCACCACAGGGGGCCTTCGTTGACAAAGTCCATGGTACGATCTGTCCAGTCCAATACTGTTTGGTGGCAATAAAAACCCCAGTCATGTGTTGGGTGGCATTGATTTTAGCAAATCACTTGCACATGTTGTGTGGGAGCTAAACCAGGCTTGAATTGATTGAAATTTGCCCCAGATATCTGCTGGTATTTAGCTGGTGGCATACTTCCATATAACATCAATAGAGATAGACGCTGTTTGCACATCGCAAACAGTTTAACATGCGTTTATCCACAAAAAGCCTGCTTTGTTTGTTGATGTGGTGAAAGGAAATTGTTTCATAATCAGCCAGTGCTGCAGTAAGACCTAGTTGGAGCAAATATAGGAAAGTAAAAGCGACAAGATCCCCCGATGGGTTCCGGTTTAAGCCAGCTGGCCCTCTTCAGCGATGGGGAGGTGGATATTTTAACTCTTGCAAAAATCATCTATAGGCCGGTAAAAAGTAATAAGAAAAGGGAAAAGCTTTTGCCTTTGGACATGGCCAGGTGGGTTTGGTGTATGGTGCTGGCAGCAGCACAGTTGGAAAGAGCAAAGCAGGTGGTGCTGAAAGCTCGCCCATCTGCGCCGAGGATCTGCCGCCAGATCGGTAGCCGGGTGTGTGTCCTAGCTAGGTCATGGAGCAGGTATCTATCGGAGCGTGAAGGATGGATTCACATCCAACAGGGTTATACGTGTCTATGCTTTTTTTTTTTCTTTTTTTTTTTTAGATATATTAGCTCGTCTGGCTGATTTTGGATGCCATGTGTCAAGCATCACGTTCACAGGGTTGACCCAGATATGCATAATGTCTATCAAAGAGCTAATGGTAACATGAGAGAAATACTGTAGCAGCCTTTTAGGGCTTAAGGGTATTGTTGACCTAGCTGTATTCAAAGTAGTTTTGGCCCGATTATATGGATGAATACTAATCTATGTACATTAACATTAGATGCACTAGTAGAGAGGTATGCAAATCCACACGAAAAATCTATTTAAACATTTATACAACAACATTGAAATCAACTTATAACATTTTATCATTCATCTCTGCAGAGGTAACAAGTTATTCATTTTATCCAGGTGTGTTGGTGAAGCATCTAAAGACTGCAATAAATTACCTCTTAAGGGCATTAAAAATACATTTTTAGAGATTTAACATAAAGTTTAATATTTTAATTTGGCTTCATGTTGATTAGACAATATTTTTTATTATTTTTGAGAAAAACATAGAAATGCATTATTTTTCTGTTCACGGATAAATTAAAGGTTTCAGAAACTAAAAACTGGGGTCTCTGGTGGGAGACGGTAGATCTGCTGTTTTTCTTAAGGTGGTCCTTATGATTAAATATTTTGAGTATTATTGGTAAATGTAATTTCAGACATTGAAATGCTTTTATAAATTATTTAAAGAACCCTTTGGTGAAGAAATTATGGGTTTAGATGTTTTCAGACCCACTATATAGAAACATTGAAATCAGCCTTAAGTATAGCATCAAAAATAAGCTGTGCTACTTGATTTAATAATGGTAATGACAACTTGTTAACCTGTATATGATATTCTCAAAGCTTCCAAAAAGTCTGAATCTAGTTTGCATTTAAGTTTCCAAAAAACAAGGTAATATTTCCTCAGACAAAGTAATTTTCGCACCAGTCTGATTGCATTTCACTCTTAAATTTGACTTGGAAGTGTTGCTAAGCAGTGGGAGTGTTGGCGTAGTGGTTAAAGCGCTTGTGCTCTGAGAAAATTTCAAGTACCCGGTTCGATCCCCACAGCCTCCACTCTGGGTCACTGAGCAAGACCCTTAACCCCACACTGCTCAGGGCGCCGCACAATGGCATCCCACTGCTCCCCAATGGGATCGGTTAAATGCAGAGAGTTCATTTTGTTTCACTGTATTTGTGACTGACCCAACCCGGTGACGGTAGCCGTGGCTCCTTGCTGAAGGATGCTAAGGATACCGTCACCGGGTCAGTTTTGGTTGCTCTGTCTCCGGCTAGTTCCGGACCAGCCCTGGAGCTGATGGCTTGGTTCGAATGCCCGGTCCAGTCAGCAGGATCCAAATCGAAGATTTTGAAAGTTCTTTTCAGTAAAATGCTTAGAGCAAATGACCGGCTAAGCATCAAACTTTGCAGGGATCTTCTGATACACAAAAAATAATCCATGCCTGTCGAGTCTTCAGATCCTTGGGAAGACTGAACATTTTCCCCTTTCTCTGTGCAACCTGGCATTTACGCCCGTGGTTCTGGCTCATTTGCAATAGAGAAACTGCCTGCTTTGTAATTCTTGTAGAAGTAAACCCAAATGTAGGCTAAACAGCTAAATTGGTGCCTTTATTCAAGTTCCCAGGCCAGTTAACCAGTGGGCTGGTCTGTATGTCAATTTCAGGGCGTGACAAAAGCACAGGCCAGAACCAAATACGGCAACATCCCCGAATTGACGTCAACTCAGAGCTTCGTTTGAATTCACCCATTTTATGGTGGAAGTTTAGAGTTGTGACATTTGCAGAGAAAGGTGTCGATGGGGTTTGAACTTCTCTGTACGTCCATTTCACCCACTGTTCTATCGTTATTCATCTATTAAAATTGAAAACTCGGCTTTGCATTCTATCCCTTTAAGTTCACAGTTCCCGAGCGTTCCATACATGATGTTGGGTTTGGTTTAAAGTCAAACAGTAACTCTGGTTAATCATTTGGCTCCTGAAACAAAAAGTTTGGAGCTCCAGTTTTGGCAGTTTTTATAACAGTGCTAGCATATTTTATCTTGAATGTTAGACATTTTTCCAGTTAAATAAAATATGTCCCATGTTATATCTGCAGCTCTTCCTCTTCTTTGCAGCGTTTGATCATTTCATCTTGCTCTGAGATGAATCTTTAAAAAGCTCACCCCGTGCTTCTTCACTCCTTCACCGGGAACATCTCCATCTAACAAGTGATTAAATAACCCCGGCCCTCCCCTCTTTGAAATTTAGGACATTTCTCTTCTCATTTTCCGCAAGAAGATGTGTGTATGAATAATAAATGACCAGGCACAAAGTGTAAAAGAGACCAGAGAGAACGAGGAGAACTTCAAGTTTCAGTCATGCTTTGGGGCTCAGCTTTAATAAACAGCATGATAGCTTTTCAGGGACTTGGTAGATGAAGCATAGTTTAATGTCAACCCAAAATAAACAACCTTTTATCAATGTGTAAATATCTAACAGAAGCACTTATAGTATGCATAGACATTTTATGTGCTGTTGTGTGATTCATCTTGTGGGTTCTGGCCCCTGGTTGGCTGTGTATTAGCATTTATGACCAAAATAATAAACCCTGGCAGTAAGAGCTCTTCAGAGAGCAACATAACTGAAAGACAAATAACAGATTAAGAGCAGAACAGTGCCCAACTTTTTAGAAACTGCATTAAATATGTGTTTTTTTTACCATTAAAGAATCAACTCATTCAAAACTTTTTTCATGTTTTTTTCCCCTCTGAGTTGTAAGACTAGAGATGCCCCTAATTGATCTGCTGACAATTTAATTTTCCCTTTTTTTTTGAAAAGCCTGACATGCTGATTGAGATTTTTAGCCAATTCTGATTTCTCTTTAAGAATATTTTACAGCTTTTCTGGCCTCCCTGACTTGCTAGTCATTAATTATAAATATTGTTGGTGGATTAAACATCGCTTCTCTCTGTGAAGGAGCATTCGGTTTAAAGCACGGTTATTCTAGGTAAAAAAAGCAAAGACTTGTACCTTATGGAGTTAAAATTTTAAATGTGTTTAGCATCTTATAGCATCATAAGTGAAATATCGATGCATTCCCAGTAGACTGTCGATTTTTATAAGGCTATCAACAAATATAGGATATTCTTTGACTAAATATCACTCCTTATTAAAGCCTAAATTAACCCGACATAAAAACACAGTTTCTCTTTTGGTGTCATTTATGTCTTGCGTTTGTTTTCAAATTTACAGATAAATAAAATTGCTCACTATAAGTCCTCTTTCTATAGTTATAACTTTACTACCACGACCTTTAGGCCCTTTGATGTCTTTCAAAGATTAAAAAACAATCAGACTTTTTTTTTTTTCAAATTGTCCAGTGATAATAAGCTGATAATGTATTGATTTGGTCAGGTTAAGATTTCCAGTCATGTTTGATAAAATGTCGTCATTTGTTGATGAGTGAAATTCCACACAAAAAAAGTCCACTTGAGTTTTCTCGGATCTGAGATATATTTACTAATGTCTAATATTAGGGGTGTAAATCACACCCATCATGGCGATTCGATTCAGTATCGATTTTCTGACCCAACGATTCGATTATTTTCAATTCTCAAGAATACACCAGGATACAATTCGATTTGATTAATTGGTTCTTTTTCTTTTTTTTACACCTTACAGGCTAGACAATGTTTCAAATTTGAAATAAATCAATGAAAGCTGTAATATTGTTATGCATTTTTTTTAGCAGAAGTAGAAAAGTTGCACTCCACCTATTCCTAATAAAACCTCATTCACTGAAAAATAATCATCCCCCTGCGTTATAGATTCCGAAAGGCTTTGCATCAAAAAATCAGTCCAATAAGTGCAATTCAATACCTCGGCTCCAGACGTCCCCGCCCCCTCCACAGACACTCCATTGCACCTCTCCCAGATTGTAACTGACCGCAGACAGTGCCACAGACAGGAGGCCAGCTTGGTTTGTTTTTATGACCGAAATTGCGGAAACAACTCGTGAAGTTTGACCCGCTAGAAGAGCGAGGTGCGCGAGAACGCTGGGGACCTTTTTCCACCTGGATCTCCGCTCTTTTTGGCCCTCATGTCCCTCCGTCGTCGGTCTAAACTCGCCCCCACTTCCTCACCGCCTCGGCCGTATCTAGACCCCCAGCGTGTAGCTCAGACCACGCTGCAATATTGAGCATAAATCAAAAATGTCTCTGTCAAGCTTACTGCAACACACTGCTGTAAGAGTATAACCTGAAAGCAAGGTAGGAGGGCAAAATAGGTTTAGCGCCACCGCAGCACGGGAGGAGAATTACATCCAGGAGCAAATTGATAAAAATAGACCGGAGGGAAAAAAAAACATGAATCGATACTCTTGCAGACGTTTCGATGCAATGGATCGTTGGCAGTTGGATCGATGCATCAATACAAAACTATTATTATTTACACCCCTACTTAATATGTATTGTCAGCCAAATGGTCTGTTTGATGAAACCTCAAAATACATGTAAGATGTATATTTGGTCATGTTCCACTCATAGTTTTTCCTTTGTCCAATCAGGTTTTACCTACTTCTATAAAGGAAAGGACTATTGGAAGTTCAACAACCAGTTGCTACGAGTGGAGCCGGGATACCCGCGCTCGTTCGTCAAGGACTTCATGGGCTGCGACCGGATGCCCAGGGACCCCAGACGCCCACCTGCTGACGATGGCAACTCGGACGTGGTGATCGAGTTGGACGACGAGCCCAGCACGGTGAAGGCCATAGCCATCGTCATCCCATGCGTCCTCGCACTTTGCCTGCTGGTGCTGGTCTACACTGTGGTGCAGTTCAAAAGGAAGGGCACGCCGCGCCACATACTGTACTGCAAACGCTCCATGCAGGAATGGGTCTGAGCCGTTCAGTGACTAAAAGGAGCCGGGCAAGATGAGACGCTGACGGGGGAAAGAAAAAATAAAACAAAACGGGACAACAGCCGTCACTTTTCCAGGAGGACAGCTGATTCTGGAGCGCTTTATAAAAAAACCACAGCCATGCCTCCTCCTGTCTGCTGTTCTGAATCTTTTGGTCAGACCTGCAGAAACAGCCAGACGTTCTGACTGTGATTCAGAAGATCCCGGAACTGAACACTGACTCTGTTAGCCCCCGGCCTTTTTAACTACACGGGAGCAGAAGGGATCTTTGCCGGAACGGACCTTTGGTCCCAGACAAAAAAGAAAAAGAAAAAAAGGCGGAAAAAAGAAAAAAAAGCACGAGGGTCAGCATCACTTTGTATCTTGGAAACTTGACTTCCTAACCCCTTCGTTTTTATTTTTCTGCCCAATCTGCTTTCGGTCAAATGGAGTTGGACTTTTAGGGGAATACACACTTTTTTCCGTGGGACACTGTATTGTCATTTCGCATATCAGGTTTTATAGACAGTAATTTCTATTCTTTTGATGGTCCTCCCAATGCCCCCCCCGCTCCTGTCTACAACCATATCACCTTGTTACCAGTCATCAAACGCCTCCCTTTATTTTAGGTTTTTAACTAGTTGTTTATGGAAAAATATTTAACCTACGAATGGAAGTCCTCAGCCGTCCCTTTAAGAAACTCCTGAGACCAAACTAAACCAAAAAAAGTTTCTTTTTTTTTCCAAAGAGGATCACAGTTTCCAGTTTTATGTCATTTTTATTTCTGTTCTTCTTTCGGTTAATTCTTTCCCTTCTCTGGATCTTTGCAGCGATTAAGAGTCGGGGAGCTCTGACTGTTGTGGCAGTCTGTTTGAGACACAGGGGCCAAATTATTCTGCAATATTTTAACTCGCCTTAAATATAAAGCATACAACTTGAGCTTGGTTTTACTGTTCCTTAGTTTTATCTCTTTCTTGTCTGTTATTTTTATTTGTGTATTGCTTTTTTTTCTGTTTGTTTGTAAAGAAGCTAAAATAAGTGCTTCTAGTGATTGGTATTTTCTGGATTTTATTACACTACGCAGAATAATCAGCACTGGTTTGCTGATCCATTCTGGATACAATATACAGTAGGTTCGGCCTGTATTGCGAGTAATGTATTGTATTGTCGGAAGGTTCTGGAGTAAAGCCACTATTTCCGTGTGTTAAGATATTTGTTACTGTCACTTTTCTTTTGATTTTCTTTTTTTTATTTCTACCATGCGACAGAAACAGGCTGATGGCAGTCTGGGTCTCTCTGAATTTGTCTTTTGCTCATTCCCTACGGTTTGATGAAGTGTTTCTTTCTAAATGGTTGTTCTGTGAGGTCATCTGTGAACAGAAACATTTCTTTTTAAAAGTTGACTGCCTTGCTTGAGAGAGCGCAGAGTTCCCAGAATGCTTTTTTGTCTTGCAGCGTAGGACCGACAAAGCGAGACAAGTCAAGATCAGTGCCTGTGTCAACGTGCATGCAAGCATTTACTGTACAAACAGCCGGTTCTGCTCTACGTGGCTTCAGAACCTCTCTTTGAAGGAACTTTTCTCTTGAAAATGCTGTTATTTTTGTACCTTTTCAGTGTGTCCTAATTCCCATACCTTCCCCTTTTCTAGGTACAATGATATCAAAAGTAAAAAAAAAAAAAAAACAATTATTCAAGTGGTACCTTTTGGGATTTATTCAGGAAATCAAACGATCGGCAAGTCAAATTAGCCTGGACCGTCCGCCGGTAGGCGGGCTGGGTCCTTGCAGTCTTTGAATGTGTGTCCGTTTTCATGCTCACATTCTGGTTTTCCTTTTGTTTTGTTTTTTTCTAGTCCAGATGGATGTCTCACCATGGTTTTCTTTGTGTAAGACTGTGAGACATCTAGAACAAAAGAAAACATGTCCTGACTGAATGAATAAAACTGATCAATATTCAATGAGAACCTGGTTTCAATCTCTTTGTTCTTCTTTGGACTAATGTTTAAGGGCATTTAACAAGCTAACAGGTGAGTACTTGTCATGATATGAAACATCAGTTGAAGAGCTTAAGCCAAGACAAATCTAAAAAGAGTTTTGAGAAGATTTAAAACAGGGTTATAAGAAAGTAATAAGAACGACTAAACAGGAAACTTTCCAAAATATGGCCGACCACATGAGGATGACATGATCTGAGAAGCTAAATACATACAAGGACTAGATACTGTGGTTAATGTTGACAGACACAGAGCTGAAATAAAACGGTGCCCGTCATAGTATATTTATGTGCTAGCGTGACCACGTGGAAATCAATTCCTCCATTTTCTGTCCCACTTATCTTTGGGTCATGAGGGCTGTTGGTGCCTATCTCCAGCTGTCTACGGGCGAGAGGCAGGGTCCACCCTGGACAGGTCACCAGTCCATCGCAGGGCAACACAGAGACAACCATTCACGCACACACTCACACCTAAGGAGAATTTAGAGAAGCCAATTAACCTAACGGTCATGCTTTTGGACTGTGGGAGGAAGCTGGAGTACCCAAAGGGAACCCACACATGCTCAGGGAGAATATGCAAACTCCATGCAGAAAGATCCCAGGTTGGGAATCGAAACCGGAACCTTCATGCTGCAAGGCAACAGTGCTTCCCACTGCAGCACCGTGCAGCCCCCAATAGAAATACAGATCTTGAACTGAGGATACAAGGCTAATCTTTACTTAATTTTTAGGTTTTGCAGTTTGAAATAAAACATACTGAACATTGCAAAAACGATTCAAAAATAAATAAAAAATTGTTTAAATGAAGTGTATTTAACCTTTATTTGAGCCGGTAAATAAGATTATTTGCCAATGCAATTACCGTAGTTTTTCTACTCTTAAATTAAGATATTTAGATAATATGCACTTGAAATAAGACAATGCAATTTTTTTCTTGTCATGATAAATGTAAATTGACTTGTTCCATTGGCAACGTCTCTCACTTAGCTCTTCAATTCATGAACAAATGCACACTTTTTAAGAAAAAAATGGCTTATTGAGATTTAAATTTTTTGTTGTGAACAAAGATAGGAGGTGTAATGAACCAAGCTATTTCCATTTGCCTCTGGTCTACATCTGTCATCTACTAGCCACCTTCTGAACACAAAGAGGTAGCCTTGGATTAAAAGTTAACATAAAGTTTGTTTGTTTTTTTATTCTTTAAAATACCTTCATATATTAAGGTCGAGACATTGAGGTTAGGACCTTTGTTTTTGGTGTACTGTACAGTATTGAAGATATGCAAGTTAGATTTCCTTGGCTCAAGTAAATTTGCATGCCTAGTAACCCTGGCCTTCATCTCTGGAGGTTTAAAGAGAAGCTTGGGGATTCAAGTTTACCTAAAATTGACTAAAGATTTCTTTGTATATTATCGTACGGTTCTAAAAGTGGAACTAAAATCAGCAGATTAGACGTTATCAAAAACTGGAAGTTGTTTTATACAGAGAAAACATCCTTCCATCAAACTTCATAATAATCGATGGCTCTATTCCCAGCACAGTGGTAAAGGGTTGTAGCCTTGTGAGTGAAAAACACTGTAGATGCACAAATAACAGGAGTATACAGCTTTTTTCACTTAAATATGTAATAAAATCCTTGTTTTATTTGAAACCTGACAGCGATCCTGTTTTTCCCCTGCCCTCCCTCAGCCTGGGCACACTGTAAATAAAGGCTATTGGCTTGAACCGCCGTGTATACTCTGGACTCCAGAGATTAACTTCAGCCGCCGCAGCAAAGGAAAATAAAAAGCAGAGTTTGATTCAGAGAATTGTGTTGGCGTGAGCTATGTGAGTTCAGCGGTCCCCTTGTAGTGTGGCGCTGCATTTTATTTTGGGCAGCATAATAAAAAAAAGAAAGGAAATCCACGCTGTAGATCGATGTACGATCCCGGCGGTGCAGCCCTGGCATTTATTGTGGACTGAATGAGAAACAGGAGCTGCAGAATGTTTATTCTAGCTTTTCTGGGACACATTTGACATACAGTTAGTGACAACGCAGTGGGTGAGGTCAAGCTGCAGTTTACTGACTGCGGTGCTTGTGTGTATGGTGGAAATGCACTCGTAGGGATAGCATTTGATTGGTTCTCATCACAGCATTGTTCAGCAGCAGAATTGATTCTGCTTTCACACATATTATGTGCTTAGCTATGTTTAGATCACTGCGTTTTTTAGAGGCTTTTCCTCATTGTGTGTGTTCTCCCTCCGATGCTGTAAACAGAGCCTACAGTGGGTGTTCAAGCACCTCATGGCGTTCCTCCTGTTTTTGCTGCTGAGCTCACTTTCTTTATGTAGCAATGCATCCTATTGGAAAGACTTTTCTGTGTTTAAAAGCAGAATAATAGTGTTTTACAATAAAAGGAAAGTTTTAGAATAATTTTCTTTTTTATTTAAACTTAATATGTTAAGTTTTTTTTTTTGTAACATGAGGTTACAAGGACATGGAGGCTGGGGTAAACCCTCTGCCCCCAGCAGTCTCTTCTGCCTTTGGCAGCGGTGCTAAACCAACCAGCATTAGCAAATGTTCTCTCTCTTTTTTCTTTTTCTTTTTTTTCTTACAGTGCTTCTATTTTCGTAAACATTCTCCTCCTCTTCCTGCTGTCGTTGGCTCAGACTCTGAATGATTAACACGGGACCATAAGGCGTGTATTTTCATTTAACCTGAGTCTTTCTGAATCTCAGCTAAATAAACCTGCATTGAAGGGAGCTTCATCAAAACCCAGCATCCCTAAGCCACATTATCACCACCGAACATATTTGATGTGTTTCTTTGATCACTGTGCAATTCGGATGGCTTCAAAGACTGTGTTTGTGCCGTGCCATGTCAGTTGTCTTAAACCATAAACTGAAAAGCACACATATGCATTCAAGAAACTGTCCAAATGATAAAAAATATATATTAACGAAAGTTTAAAATGGCTAAATATAGTTTAAAAATCTCTAAATAGTGAACCTTAGTTCTGCTGATAAAAATCATTGTATTATTGCAGTTGAACACATTGTGAAGGTTGATACTGGGGCAAAAAATCACCTTTCTTGAAGGGCAATGATCTTGAACATACAGCTAGAAATCAATGGCAGAGGTTTATATCAACAAAGTGCATATACTGATGGTCTAGTTAAAGCCCACACCTAAATTAAAATGAGAAGCTGGGACAAGAGCTGTATATACATATATATACACTCACCGGCCACTTTATTAGGTACACCTGTCCAACTGCTCGTTAACACTTAATTTCTAAGCAGCCAATCACATGGCGGCAAACTCAGTGCATTTAG